GCTTGGATGTATCCCTCTAGACATCGATGTTAAGCTTGGCTGGCCACTTCACGGTTGGTCCCATCCTTTTCATGATTGCCACAACTTGAGCTAGTTCAATGTTGAGGTTGTACTCATGAATCTTGTACTGATTGGAGCTAGATGATTTACTTATGGGTCTGGTTTGTTGGCGATCATATGGTTTCTTGTTTCTACTTGAATTGTACGGTGAGGGTCGATAGTGAGGCTCATACGACCTACATTCTGGTCTTCTTTCATTTCACCTTCGATGGCGAACATTCGCTGTTTGTATGGGGCAATATGATCATTCGAGTCGATTGTGCCATTGTAAGGATTCATGTTGGGGATGGAGAACTTGTGTGGTATCTCAGCTAAAGCAATTGCATCCACGAAGTGTGAATCGGCATGGCTGTGGGGTTAGCTCTTCTTGGTTGAGGTTGGCACTCCAAGTATGTGCCTCATCATTGCTTCCATATGACCATTTTTTTGGCTAATATTTGCTCCAAAGGTAAGGGGGAGGTATTAGGTCGACTTGTGGCTTAGAATGGTTGTTCTTGTAGCGGTAGGCTTGGGGTTACCTGGGTGCCTTGATCATGAGCTTGGGGAGGGACGATCGAGAGCGGCCTTGTTTGCTATCCAGGTTTGGATGGATTCTGGGTCAAGCCATCTACTTGTGATTAATGGAGCTAGGATGAATGGGTGTCCGTATTAGACATTCTGGGGTTTGGAGTTTAGAGAGGCTACATGGGTGTAACTAGTATGTGAAAGCAATTGGGTGGTACTTGGTAATGTTGAAGCTCAAGATTATAGAATTGATTTACCTTCTCTTTCAAAGTTTGGTTTTCGACCCAAATAGAGGAATTTTCAATCCGGATGGTGGCATTCTTAGCTTTCAGTGATACGACCTTGTCCGAGTGTTATTGCATAAGAGCAATTAGAGCTTCAAGCCTAGCCTCGAGGCTAGGGTTGGCATTGTCCGAGTTTTCAGCCATGAAGTATTTCCATGTGAAGTAGGGTGTCATAGGATGAATGATTGCCATAGGTCCTATGATGGGTGCCAAACCATAAATGGTAAAATCTACAATTATGGAATGGGGGGTTTGATCATTTGGGATTAAGGCCACTAGCAATCTACTACACCTACACAAACAAAGAAACAAGCGTGAAGTGAACTGAAAAGACCAGGGGGTGTCTGCCGTAGGCACTTCAACGCTCAAGTCAGCAAGCTGAATGAGGCTAATATAGTAAGGGTGAGGGAAAAAGAAGGTTATCGAAAGTTTAGTCGGAGACTAGAACTACGATGATGGTGTTTAGCTCTCAAGGGTGAGAACTAAGGGGTTTGAAGGTGTAATGTTGAATGAATTGTGAGAGGGTAGACCTTTATTTATATAGTAATCGTACAATCTCCGAATCCTAGTAGGACTATGAGTCCATAATGGTTGAGGTTTAGTGAACAGGAAAGTCTTCAATTCACTTGCCTAAGTAGGAGAAGGAGTCTTATTTAGTCTTAGATTCGAATCTTAGACGAAGTAGGATATAGACGGATCTCCTTGGGAGAATCTGGATAGTATCTAAATAAGAAGTAGATAACCTTAGGGTCCTAGTAAACTCTAGGTCCTATAGGTGATCTTGGATCAACGGACCTAGGCCTAGATAAACTGATAGTGAGGCCTACGTGTATTGAGACCTTAGTGATTAGGTTCAATATGTAAGCACCTAGTGGATGTAATGGGTTGGCCCATTATACAAATTCTATTGTGGGCTAAACCGGAATTGTGCCATGGTTCTAAGCTTCATTGAAGGTGTTTCATTTTTGAACCCATTGAGGTTGAAGACATTTTTTGGCTTTAACAGTTTGTTAGCACCCCACTCTCTAAATTAAGAAATTAACTTGGAGAGTAGTCTAGTCCGAACGGTAATGATCTAGGCTGAACAGAGGTGTCTCAAGCCGAGTGAGAATGTCCAAAGCAGGTGAAGGTGAAACCATTTGGTCAAGTGAACCAAGCAAGAGGATGTAAGGCACATCTTGTGAACTGAGTGAGGGGAAGTGAAGTACATCATTTGAAGGTGTCAGCACTCGGTCAGGCAACTAGAGTCAGAAAGTGTCCTCACTCAATGCATCGAACCGAGTGAGAGGATGTGAGACACATCCTATGAAGGTGTCCTCACTCAGTGCATTGAACTGAGTGAGAAGATGTGACGCACATCCTATGAAGGTGTCCTCACTCAGTGCATCGAACCAAGTGAGAGGATGTAAGGTACATCCTATGAAGGTGTCCTCACTCAGTGCATCGAACCAAGTGAGAGGATGTGAGGCACACCCTATGAAGGTGTCATACTATGGAGGCATAGATCAAGTGAAGTTTACAATTGCATGAAGGTGTTTTGGCCGAATGGAGAATTTTTGCAAAGTGTAAACCGCTTCTCTAATGTTAGAGCAATTCATATCCCACGGGCCATGGGATATATATGGATTTCTTTAAGCAAGCAACTATTATAAAGCAGGGTAATAAAGGACCAATTCGGCTTAGCCGAAATTGCTTAATAGAGGTGTTGCTTGCATGACACAAGTACTGAGTCGGCTCTGCTCTTTAGTTTAAATGCGGATCCAAGTAGACGACTTAAGGCGACTTCATATGGTATCATGTATGGTGTGTATATGTTAAGCAACAAACTGAATGGAGAAGAAAAAACCAAATGGAGAATAGACCAAATGGAGAAATAATATGCATGGCGTGCATGCGTGACAAATCGAATGAAAAATAAGTCAAATGGAGAAAAAAGACAAATGGGGGTGAATTCTTCTACCATGCGATTGGCAAAGGTCGAGCAAAATGAAGTTTTAAGTAAAACATACCGGGCAAAAATGGTGTGCATGCCAAATGTGCCAGAGTGGTGTCAAATGGAGGATCATTAAAGTGAACAATGCGTTTGCTCATGCCTCAGCAAGTGTTGCTTTCCTCGCTGACGTAATTGTCGCTGCTGTTTCATTGGCTTCTACATCATTTGACGCTACCTCTAGTGTTGCCGCATTTGTTGCTTGAGCTGTGGCTGTTGCAACTATGACTTCTGCCCTTGATGTGGTACAAAAGTGCACTCTGCTGGCTTTGTTGCTGCAATGGAACCTTGGGGTTGTAGCATATGCACAAAGTGTTGATTACTTTGCATGCTTGAGTCTTCAAACTGATTTCCAAGTAACTATTGTTGCTCCTGCGATTGTAATCTTGAAATATTATTTTGTGGGCCTAGTTGTTGATGATGCATACTTGAGAGGTTTTGCTGAGCCAATATCTGCTGGTGCTAATGATGTTATTGCTCACTCTGTCACCTTTGCCTTGGCTAAATACATTAGTGTGAAGAATGTAAGGATCATCGCTTAAATTTCCCAGGAACTCAAAGTCTATCTCATCCCGAGCTGAGCCTTCTGATTTTAAGTAGTAGGCAGTAATAGTGTTGTTGTTGAGAATTTGCCCACTACCATCTCCCCAAGTCATATCAAAATTTGGTAGAAATGAGCAAAAGCAAGCATGAAATAGCTAAAAACTCTAAAAATCATTAGCATTTTGCTAGAACAAGAAGCCATGCATTGAGCTTAAGCCTTGATACTTTGTTGGAACTGATGAATAATACAAAGGGCTTATATATCAGGAAAAGTGGTAAAATTAATTAAACAATTTACCAAAGAAGGGAAATTTAAATGCATGTATTGAAGGATCCTGGCGGGTCTTGAAGTTGATGGAGAGGAACTCGTCATCATCAATCATTATTAATGAAAGTGCTTGGCACTTTCCTCTTGAGTTTATATTTGTGCACTTCTTCATTCGGCTTGATGGGTTTTGAATAAATTGCAGAGTCGAATGAATCTACGTAAGGGTTTTGGGATTTTGGATCGAAAGTCTGTTCTGGAAAGATGTTCTAGACATTCTAAAACAAGCCCAAGACACACAAGGATATTTAAAACATGAAATACCTTCCAAAGAGGCAATTAGACATGCATTGATGAACATAAAGTCCCAAAATGTGATCAATGTTTAAAATGGTGCATGAATAAATAATAAACACGGGAGATGCGTTTTAATGTTTCAAAATATTATGTTCCATGTTGAACAAATATTATATGGTATGTGAATGATTCCTAGATACTTTCAATGGACTTAAAATGAAGAAAAGTAAACAAAAACTTTCTTATCATGGTGAAACTTTTTTATTAACGATGCCAGTCGGAGGGAGTTTCGTGCCTCCTCTCATGTTGAAAGTTGTCATTGGTAGATGATTGTCAAGGCCCCACGGTGGGCACCAAACTATAGATGCAAAAAATATACAATTACGGAAATAGGGTTTGATCCTATGAGGTTGAGGCCACTGACAATCTCGTTGGACCGAGAGCTTTGTCGAAGACCAAGACTATCGCGAGGGCGTCAGGTTCTCGAGAGCAAGAACCTAGGAGCAAGTAGGCGGTTTTGAGTAGTAGAACTTGAATATCCTATCATGAATCCCTTATGAGAGGGTAGACCTCTATCTATATAATAGTCATAGGATCTTTGAATCTTAGTAGGGCTCTGAGTCCATAATGATAGAAGTTTAGTGAATAGGAAAGTTTTTGATTTACTTGCCTTTGTAATAGTAAGAGTCCTAATTCATATAAGGTTCAAGATCTTAGATGAATTAGAATATATAGATGGATCTTTTGGAAGAATTATGATAGTGGTGAAACAGGAATTGGATATCTTTAGGGTTTGAATAAAACATTGGACTCTTAATAGATAACATGGGCTAATGGACCTATCCAAGGTTGGGCCATGGTCTTGAGCCATGCTATAGATGTTAGGCGATTTTTTGCCCATACAATAGACAATAAGTTTGATGATTAAAAAAAAAAAAAAAAAAAAAAAAAGATATTAGTTTCACTACTTAGAAGAACATATATAAAGATACATAAGAAAAAAATTGGTGTAAAACTAGAGGTAGTTGAATGAAAACACCCTGAAACAATTAGTTACATCTTATTTTCCATTATAGTGACATTTGAAGGCTAAAACAGAAATATAAAAACAAACAAGACTTAGATAGTCCTCAGATACGAAATAGGATTAGGAGGCATTGGAAAATCTACAGTCCCTTCCAGCATAAGTAAAACTTTCTTCATTGAAGGACGAAGGGATGGCTCATCAATGATACACCAAAGTGCAATTTTCATCATCCTCTCTAATTGTTTTAGATCAACCTTTTCATCACCTACTAGTTGAATCAACTCCCCAGCATCAAAACACTTGTAAGCCCAATCTTCAAGAATAACTTGATCATTCGGAAGATTTTCGTCCATACTTCTTCGACGACATATGATTTGCAAGAACACAATTCCAAAACTGTAAACATCCGCTTTCACTGTCACAGGTATATTTCGATGCCATTCTGGTGCAACATATCCCCTCGTTCCCCTTATTGCTGTATAAGTTTTAGTTTGGTCTGGTTTCATCAGCTTTGCTAATCCAAAATCAGAAATTTTTGCATGCATTTTCTCGTCCATGAGTATATTATGAGGTTTTATGTCACAATGGATGATCTGAGTTTCACACTCATCATGTAGATAGAGAATGCCTCTTGCTATATCGTGAACGATGCCTATTCTTTCAACCCAGTTAGGTTGCTTTTCTGGAGTGAAGAGAAGATCAGCAAGAGAACCATTGCTCATGTACTCATATACCAACACCTTTTTGGGTCCATCGGAGGAGTATCCGAGTAGACGAACTAGATTCCTGTGATGGGTTCTCCCAATTACCTTAATCTCAGTCAGGAATTCCCTTTCCTCTTCAGCGAACCCCTTCTTTAATTTCTTGACAGCTACTAACTTTTGGCAATTCATCATTGTCCCTTTATAAACTGTACCTGAAGATCCTCTACCAATCTCTTCCTTGAAACCTTCAGTCATTTTTTCAATCTCTGCAAAACTAAATGATGTGGGGGCAATATCCTCGCAAAAGCAATCGTCAAGAATTCTCCTATATGACCAGCAATGATATCTGTAGATAACAAAACCGAATATTGCGAAAATAACAAATATAAAAGCAACAAATAAAGAACAGACAATTATGATCATATCCACCGGGAGATGTTTCTTGCTTTCTTTGAGCTCAACAGGTCCGCTATCAGTGGAGGATGAAGTAACTTCTACCTTGACAAGAACGATATTTGATGAGTCAACGTTGGGATCTTTTCCTGCAAATCTCAAAGGAAGCTTTTGCATTCTGCAGTTTCCATTTGTACTAAATAGTGCTGCTTCGCAATCACTGTCCTCCAAACATGCCTGTTTACAGTCTTCTTTGGATACTTGTAGAACTTTATATGAAACATCTTCGAAGTAATAATTATCCAATTCCTGAATTGTGTAGTTTACAGCTCCATGCCGGTTTGAGGAATTTCTTTGACAGCCTGAATATTGATTTTCTTGGTCAACATAAACAAATCCTTCAAGACATATACAGCCAAATTTCTGGTTCTGTTTTATAATACAATAGCTATTAAGGCCACACAGACCCTTAGGCACACACTTATCTTCCAGAGATTCCCACACAACTAACCTTGAACCATTTTGTCTTAAATTGTATGTATATAATCGGAGTATCCCATCCCAATCAATTTTCACCAAATAGATTGTTCCTTTGTTAGTTGGATATCCTCCCTCTGTTATGTTTTTTACGGGGAGGCCTATGGAACTAACCATGTAAAGATGGCCATCGACATCAAGTTTGACTTCATAAGCCGACCCGTTTGTAAAAAACAGCCCAGTATTTGACGCCCAATAAGCATATGTAGATGTGTCTGCAGTATTCTCTGGGTACTGCACCAGGTTTCCATCATATTGCATCTTAAGACGGAATCTCACCCTGGAATATTCAGTTCCTGAAACACTTGAAAGCAACTCCTTCCCTGTGAGGAGACTTTGAGTTTGCAAAATAGTATCAGTTGGGTGATCAAAACTCTGCCATATTATTCCTCCACTAGTGTTATAAAGCACAAAGTTGCCAGAGTCTAGCATGGAAGCGGATGCGGCGGGCCTTGAAATTTTAGCTATAGAAGCTGAGCCTTCTGTTGATTGCAAGACAAGCCTGCCTTCAGAATTTAACAGCAAAGTAGCGTTACTGGAGACTGGTGGATCATCTCGGTTTGCAGTCCAGACTACAGTTTTCTCAGGAATTCCAGCGAGAAAAATTCCAACAGCATAGCCTTTCCGTTGCCGATAAAAACCAAAGGCGTAGAGACCAGAACGAGACGGCCATGAAGAGTTTTTGGTTGGTGCAAGAGAAGATCCCAGGCCTATATTAAACCGGGTTTGTTGCGCATTAGCTTTAAAAGGTGCAGATAGGAGAAAGAATATAGAATGCATGAGAAGAATATGAAATGTCTGCATCTTATGAATCTGGAGGTGAAGTAATGACAACACTGGATAAATGCATATATTTAAATCTATATATGGAACTCAAAAGGACTGGAATTTTCAAAACTCTTCCGTACACATTCATGTAAGTTAAATTTTCATTCGCAATTTCCACAAGCTTTGAATTTTATTTTCATATCAAGAATCTTCAAAATAATAGAATTAGCACGTCAATATATGGAGACTAACATGTTTTTTAAACCAATCAAGGGCCAAAGAATTTGTTTAATGTTTTGACAGTCGTATAGACTGGGTATATATACGAAGATTCTACATTGCAAGGTTTAGTAGACGTATTGATAGGGAAACTTAGTGCGAATTCCAAGTGACGTATAATTAAAGTATAGAAATGAGCCTTTGACGCTGAGTATCTATAGCTGTATTTTCCTTGCATTTGATTTGAATGAGAATAGTATAAATCTTGAAAATGACTTTTGTGTAGGACTTTAAACTTAACTAGGTTATTGTAGTAATTTTATATTATATTATGAGTTATTTTAGTTATTTTATTTTATATTTTGAGACATGAGTGATGCTATTCAACCTCACGTTTTATCTAATTTGACCCCACTTCTAAAAAAGATCCACTAAAACTCTTAAAATTTTTAAAATATCTAAATATACCCAGTTATTTTCAAAGCAATCCCTTTTTAATATTAATTTTTTAATAATTACTTATCTCATACTTTATTAATCTTTATTTGTTGTGAATATAAATAGCAATCATAATATTTTGTTTTATAAAATATTGTTTTGAGATTAAAACTTAAAAATCTTATACAATGAAGAGAAAGGAATGATTCATATTTAAATATTTAAGTCCGCGGAATGAATATTCATTCCACCAGGTGAAGCGCCGGTCAGAAAAATTTATTGGACTAGTCACAAAGACTTTCAATCGATTTCTCTTCTCTCTCTGAGTATCTATAGTTGTATTTATTGCATTTGATTTGAATGACAATAGTATAAATCTTGAAAATGAGATTTGTGTAGGACTTTAAATAAACTAGGTTATTTTAGTAATTTTATGTTATATTATGAGTTATTTTAGCTATTTTATTTTAGTAACTTTGTAATATATTATGAGTTATTTTAGTTATTTTATATTATATTAAGAGTGATGCTGTTTGCAACCTCACATTTTATCTAAACCACTAAAACTCTTAAAAGTATTAAAATATCTAAATAAACCCCATTTATTCTCAAAGAAATCTTTTTTCAATTAAATTTTTGATAATTACTTATCTCATACTTTGTTAATCTTTATTTATATATATAGCTTTATGTCATATATATATTCAACATTTGGGATTTAGGCTGTGTTTACAGGTGTATGTAACAAATTTGTCTTTGTCTACTAAGAGATGTTAATGGCAACAATGAAAGCTCTTGCTGAGTTTTTCTTGCGCATCCATTAGGTTAGAATAGTGGCTTTTATTTAAATTTTAGAAGACTTGATAGAGTCCAAGTCTTCCCAGTGGATAGACCTAACTGTCTAAAGACTGGAAAATTTTGTTGTATTTATATTCTTATACATTTAGGTAAACATACTGAACCTTGACGGAAGAAAAAAAAAAATTATTAATTAAACCAAAAAAAAAAAAAAAAATGAAAGAAAAAAGAAACATGACACCTAGAAGTGTCAAGGTAAATAATTTTAATAGCAAAGGCAATCCATCTTTTATGGTGAATGATAATATCAATTACCTTGAGAAATCAATCTAGCCTTCACAAATTGAAAAGGAAAAAATAAATAAAATTTCTATTACAATAGTAAAATTGCCAATTGAGTTGAAAAGTTATTTCACGTGGGTGGCACATAAATTAAGATCTCAACTTTGTAAATGTAGGTTAGATTATTGTAACTTAGAATTTTACTTAATTTGGGATTTTTTAACTTTGGATGGCCTAATGGTAAAAAAGCAAAAGAGTCCAACATGAGTTGTTGAGTTCAATTCTCATAAGCCCTAATAGGGGTGGCCACTGAGAAGACTTATTTGGTTGTCAATTTCAAGGTCCCGGAGAATTAGTTGAGATACATATAAATTAACTCAAACATCTTCAGTTAAAAAAAAAAAAAAAAAAAAAAATTTCCTTCATGACCATTGGATTTAACCAAGCCCATAACCAAGAAAAGGTTAAAAAAATTATTATACAAAATGAATGGATAGATGCATATAAAAAGCTAACTCAATAAACACTCAATAAGCATGGGTAATTATACAAACGGACTCTATATAATCAAATTGTATAAAAAAAAAAAATTATATATTTAGTTTGTACGTATATATAACTTTATGTCATATCTATATTCTTTTTCTTTTTAACATTTGGGATTTAGGCTGTGTTGATAGGTATATGTAACAGATTTGTCTTGGTCTACTAAGAGATGTTAATGACGACAATGAAAGGTCTTGCTGAGTTTTTCTTGCGCGTCCATTGGGGTAGAAAAGTGTCCTCTATTTAAATTTTAGAAGACTTGATAAAGTCCAAGTCTTCCCGGTGGATAGACCTAACTGTTTGAAGACTTGAAAATTTATCAGCATTAAAATTTAGATACAATAAATTTTAATGCTTTACCTGATTCATATGTATGTCTAATAAATTAAGTCATTGTCACATATAAATATACTTTGAAAACCATCGATAGACTGATAGTCTGTGAACGAAATTAAATGAGGAGGAAAACGAAACAAATATAAAATAGATACCTAAGACAATAACAAAATATATATGGATTGCAAGATTAATTTCAAGTTCGTTGAGTCAAAAAATATTCAAAATAAAAAATTTAAAAATGATTATGCTTTGCTTATCTCAAATTCGGGAACAAAAAAAATTAAATCCCGTTAATTTTAAATAATAGGAAAAGATAATAAAAACATAGACTAAGTCCTAGGATATATAATTAAATGCACATGGATACGACTTGACTTCAGGACCATAAAATATTGTTTCATCCCTTTGATTTCAGTCAACTAAAGTCAAGCACGTTCATTTCAAATATTATTATTTCGGTCCTTTAACTTAATATATCATTAGTTAACTGCTAAATGACTTGAAAATTATACTAAAAATGAAAAAAATATCATTTAAAAAGAAATGAAAAAGACATTATGCAAACAACACTAGTATATAACGTGTTTGTTTAATAACTTGAAGGGAAAATAATTCAAATTACAATAGTATTATATATATAATTCATTTTTATTATTCTTTAGAGAGGTATTTTTATCATTTTAGCATAATGTTTTACTCAAGTATCAGTCTACTAACTATTTATGAAGTCAAAGAACAAAGTACTAGTATTTGAAATAAGTATCCTTCGGTAGTATACCAAAACTATAGGGATCAACATGTAGTTCTCTTCACGATTTTGAGTTCCATAATTTTTATATAAAATATTGTAGTGTGGGTCAAAGAGTCAGAGTGCGAAGTGAAGAAAGCTAAGAAGTCAGATCTACAGAGAATAGACCTTGGCTTGGTTCAGGGGGAATGTGGATCAAAGTGTCAGTCTATAAAGTTAAGGGTTTAGTTTGAGAAGTGCCAAAGTGATGTCATTTCAATGAAGTTGTTAAACGAAGTAGTTAGGTTCAGTTAACTACTCTATTGCTCTTGTATATAAAGCAGTATGTAATCAGTTTGTTCTTAATGAAAAAAATCAGCTTACAATTCACGCAACTTCCTCTGTTTTTTTTTTTTTTTTTTTTTTTTTTTTACTAAACTATAGTCTAGAAGTTTTTCTTCCACATTTCTTCAAGATTCACATGGTATTAGAGCCACCCACTAACTGTCAATGGCAAATTACACTGATTCTTATCAGTCAGTGAAATTAGGGACTAACATGCTCCGTAGCTCATCCAGCTCCTTCACTTCAACCTTTCCCTCTAGCCTCCAAGCTGTAAACCCTAAATTGACAAGAGACAATTACAAGGACAATTATAGGTTCTGGAAATCGCAAGTTCCAACTGCAGTTGGAGCTCATGAGCTTGAAGACCATTTAACAGGTTTAGTTCCCTGCCCTTCTCCACTAATTGATAGTGAGAATGAAACCGCTTCAGAAGCAGGAGAAATTAGGGCAAGAAATTTAGTTAATCTAGCATATGTAGCTTAAAAGAGGACTGATAAATTTCCGATTACTTGGTTGCTAGCATCAATATCCGAATGTATGTTTAGCTATGTGTCCAAGTGTCAGTCATCGACCGCTATTTGGCTTATTCTTGAGCACGAGTTCTTAAATGACTCTAAGGCAAGAGCTTTGCATCTCAAAAACCTTTTGTAAAATACTCAAAAAGGGAACTTAATTGTTAGTGAATATGTGAAAAAGATGAAAGGTATAGCTGATAATTTATCAACAAGTGGACAGTTGATTTCTAATGAAGATTTGTTGCAATTGATTCTAAATGGTCTTGGTCTAGAGTTTGATTCTGTTTCATTACAAGAAGTAGAGTTTGATTCTGTTTCATTACAAGAAGCACAATACCTGCTTCAAAAGTATGAAATGCGAATTGAGAAGTTTAATTCTCCTGACTTCTCAAATATTGCCATCCATATTGCTGCCACTAATAATTCAGGAAACTCAACATCTTATTCCACCCTCCACAATAACACAATGTCCTCTAATAACCTTTCTCTTTTCCTAAATACGCCATTACCAGCTTCCTCTGTTCCAAATATACCAAATCATTCCTTTACACCTCAACATTACCCTCCAAATTATCACTCATAGCTCCTTGCTTCCAATACAAGAGTTTTACCTTCCATTAATCCCTATTCAGCTTCAGCTTACATAGGACAATATGGAAGTCCTTTTTCTGGTAACAACACTCACGGTTTTACTGAAATTGGAAGAGGAAGAGGTAGAGGAAACAATAGAGGAAGACTGGTTTGTTAAGTATGTAGCAAAGTTAGACACATTGCTATCCAATGCTGCCATAGGTTTAATTCATCATACAATGGTGCACCTCCCTACT